CAAAAGAAATGGCAGATGACGAGTGACAGATTATATGAAACATGGAATAGTAGTTGTGACAGATGACAGGTGACAGCTGTGAGTTGCATGGAGCATGGAACACAAGAAGTGACATGTGACAGATGACTAGGAACAGATGACGATTGACAGATCTCAAGTGACATATAACGGATGACAGCTGACACGTGGGGCTCTAGACTCTCGAATCTAAACTCTGTACTCTCGACTCTAGACCTTCGAAGCATGTTCTCTCCCTAAGGCATATTCATCCTTCATCTTCTTGCTGAAAAATCGTAGGTGGATGACAATCTCACGACTAGTGACTTCTTGTCTCTCACCAGATTCAGGTTGGTAGTTCTAAAAGTCAGCAGATTTTTGCGGGGGAAATTTGAGTATTACTGCAAAATGTTGTTGGTGGCACTTCGTTTCAAGTTAACTCGATATACCCGTTATTTGACCATTTCTGATCTCTTGAAATTTGTGACACAATATGAGAAAACAATGCATTCTTTGTTCGCAGGTGGCCAATGAGTCATCCTTATCGTGATTTCCGGTCTCAGAACAATGCCTCCTTTGTTCACAGATTGTCAACGATAACTTCATCCTTATTCATTCTTCCTGTGTGAAAACTAATACTTCCCTGTTTGTAGGTGACCAGATGTCATTCATGTCACTCCTTCCTGTCTAAGATCTTTTGCAGGTGAATGACGTTACGAGTCATTTGATACCAAAAAACTTCAAATCCAAACTAAAAGGAGTGTTTTTGAAATGTAAGATGAATTGACATTCATCATACAGGACGTGGAAAGAAATTCTGAATTGAGAAAAACCTAATCACGAATCTGCGATTCAGGTCTTTAAAAACAAGTATCCATCGTTCAAGTTTGAACCCCTTGATTGGGTGAAAGTATTGAAAAGGAACATTCTCAGATATGAATAATACATTCAGAATTTGCATTCTCCATGTGATGAAAATATCAATTCTTTCACGGTTTATTCAACAGGAAACAACTACTTTCCTGGCTATATGCCACGACGAATATTGAATTACATCTATTGAACACACACGATGAGAATTTGAAAACAAAGTCTTCTGAAGTAGAGAATTTGCATTCTCCTTTATATAAAGATATGCATATAATATAATTCTGATTATTCAACAGAAAACAACTACTTTCCTGGCTATTTGCCACGCCGAACATTGAATTATATCTGTTGAATATCCAAAAAGAGAGCCTCACATATGAATTTTCGTCATTTTCATACCAAAATCTCATACCTATGTATAATATATTATGTTACTCTTGAAAATGATGAACAGTGGTAATACCGATAGATTTGAGTATTTCACATCTATCCCGAAGGGATGCCTCGAAAGCCTGACCATCAACTGAGATTGGAAATTCTAAAATATATTTGACTGTCCAAGCTATAATGAATATAACAAATATTTTTTTGTATTCGTTTTCTGATAAAGAAATCGAAATTCAACATATTATCTGTTAGTGAAATTGAATGTGAAGTAAGAACCCACCAAATTCCACCTTCCACTACATCACCGATATTAGCTCGCTGAATGAAAATCGTGAACAAAAGGGTAGGGGCGTTGTATAGGTGAGGTTGTATTGAAAAACCAGAGGTCTCGAATCATAGATAGATAGATAGATAGATAGATACTTTTATTGATCTCTTTTGATTATTTACATAACATGAGACAGGTCCTTATACTAGTTGTAAGTACAGATATGCAATATAGGCAATAAAAATGGTGAAATATAATATTTAAAAAAAGTAAAAAAGTAAAAACACGTTTTGGACTAGGACTAACAAGATATGTGTATATATATGTACATGAGGATTATGCAGTATAAAAAAGATGACAGTATTAATTATTCAATTGGACATATTCGTCAAGACAGTAAAATGCATGGTGTAATAGATATTTCTTTAGGTGCGCTTTGAAAATGTTGGTACCCTGCAATGATTTCAGGTTTGGAGGTAATAGCATGTTGAAGAAATAGCCTCCAGCATATACTGTTCGACGTATGTCGCAAGTTACTGGTGTGATTCAAAAAAAAAGTTATGGCAGACGGCGTTGCAGAACGTGTATAGGGTGAATACGATACGCTTTATATTGTCGTCAGAAATTCTTAATGAGAAATTATCATCTGTTGATGTTGGACATTTCGTTAATTCAACTTATGATTCACAAACACGCAAAACAATGTGATCGTCGAAAATTTTTGTAGGATTGTAGGGCCAAACACCCCCGCTTACCATGTCTTAAATGCGATTTCATCGATTTAATATTATTTCCAAATGTTCAGTATTGAAAAGCAAATTGAAATGTATAGAAGAAGTATACTTGATCCGAGTCTACTGTCGTGTGTCCCACTTACCATGCTCACCATGGGTATCTTTTTAACGGTGAGAGATACGAGGTCGGTTAAATGACACCAAATGTGGAGTTTGTCAAGGCCAACTATAATGTGAACAAATATTTTGATAAAATCTATTCGTTTTTGTTTTATACGCAAAAAAACAGATTTTGATCATTTTCATGTCTCCTCCGTTACTTCTTTATTTATGAAAATATTCAAATAGGAATTTCACATTTTCACATTTCACAAATATATACCAACTCTTCTAGAATTTGGGATATCAGCACCAACTTTAGTTCTTCAAATGTAGGTCATAGCTCACTATGACTTAGTTACAAATAACTTTTTTCTCTCTCACAAATGATATGTCGCAGTAATAGTTTTGTGTTGATAACAACGGAGTTATAGTCATTTATACAGAAACAAAAAATTATTTGGGACCCACCATCTTGAATTTATGAATTATAACAAAACAATCATGATCTCCGACCTCAAAAACTCCCACTTACCAATTTTTAATGAAATCGGACCAAATCTTGTACGCCATCTTGGAGCAGCCATTTTTTTTAATGTCAACAAAAATTCCATAACTCCGATTAACTTGAAATTTAGCAGGTGTTCATAATTTCGGTGACAATAGATTATGGAATTTTTGTTGAAATTAAAAAAAAGGGCTGCTCCAAGATGGCGGACAAGATTTGGTCCGATTCAATTCAAAATTGGTAAGTAGGGGTTTTCAAGGTCGGAGATTATGATTTTCCTGCTAGATTTCATAAATTCAAGATGGCGGCTTCCAAATAATTTTTTGTTTTTGTTCAAATGACGATAACTCCGTTGTTATCAACACAAAACTATTACTGCGACATATCATCTGTGAGAGAAAAAGAAGTTATTTGTTACTATGTCATAGTGAGCTATGACCTACATTTGAAAAACTAAAGTTTGGAGCAGCCATTTTTTTTTAATTTCAACAAAAATTCCATAACTCCGATTAACTTGAAATTTTACAGGTGTTCATAATTCCGATGACAATACATTATGGAATTCATCCACATTATAGTTGGCCTTGACAAACTCCACATTTGGTGTCATTTAACCGACCTCGTATCTCTCACCGTTAAAAAGATACCCATGGTGAGCATGGTAAGTGGGACACAGTGTATACAAGTATACTTCTCCAATACTTATTGGTTATATTTTTATATCATAATACATCATAATATGCATCCTATTTGAAAGAGAATGTCAATTCTCGTTTTCAGAGGATTTTGATTTTCATCATGCACTCCTTTTGGATGTTCAACAAATATAATTCAATGTTCGACGTGGCAAATAGCCAGGAAAGAAAATGTTTCCTGTTGAATATTCAGAATGTTATATGCACATTCATATTTTCACCTGAAGGAGAATGCAAATACTCAAATTCATCAGAGGATTGTGTTTTCAAATTTTTATCGTGTGTGTTCAATAAATATAATTCAATGTTCGTCGTGGCATATAGTCAGGAAAGACGTTGTTCTTCGTTGATTGAACTGAAAAAGAATTGATATTTTCATCACCTAGGGGATGCGAATTCTCAGTGTATCTCTTTATATATACTGGGTGTGTCAACGAATCTATTAGACTAGTCATAACTTCTAGATCATTAGATGTATCAAAATGAGATTTGAAATAGGTAGATGGTATGTGAAGAGGAGAGTTTTCACATATTTTTTACTTTCCGGTCACTTCCGGTCTCACCGGAAATGACTCCGGTTTCAATTTTTTAAATGGAACACCCTGTATATTGTAACATTTTTTGATTTCTAAGATGATTCTAGATCAGAATGTGACATTTTCGAGAAATTTTATGCTTACTTAATTTTTTCGGAGTCACTTTTGAAATTACATCTAGGTGGCCATGATCGGAAGTAAACTAATCTAAGGACCTCAGGTGGTATCAGAAAATTACAATCGCGAAGTTTCAGTGACAAGTATGATAGATATAAATAAGACAAGTTGGCAAAATTACATTTTCGTGTCTAACTATTATTTTTCAAATGGCGACCATTTTTTGACAAGCACTTCCCGAAAAAAGGATATTTTGACGAATAGTCTGTGACTCCGAAAAAATTTAGTAGGCATAAAAATTTTCGAAAATGTCACATTCTGATCTAGAGTCGTCTCAGGAATCAAAAAATATTACAATATACAGGGTGTTCCATTTAAAAAATTAATACCGGAGCCATTTCCGGTGAAACCGGAAGTGACCGAGAAGTGAAAAATATGTGAAAACTCTCTTCTTCACATACCATTTACCCATATATACCAAATCTCAATTTGATACACCTCATGGTCTAGAAGTTATGACTTGTCTAATAAATTCATTGACACCCGATATATATCCATTTTTTTGTGTTCATAATTATATCTGAGAATATTCCTTTTCAATACTTCCACCCAATCAAGGGGTTCAAAGTTGAATGTTGGAAACTTGTTATTTTTATAGACGTTCAATCGCAGAATCGTGAATGAGTTTTCCCAATTCCGATTTTTTTTCCACGTCCTCTATGATGAATATCATTTCGTCATACATCCAAAAACAAGTGTTATATTGTTACACAAAATGAAGTGTTTTCTGGTTTCGTATATATTTATTCATCTCATAATCTACTGTACTTTAATTTTTTCTTTCCTAAACAATCTACCTACCGTGTGTTTACATATGAATCTAAGAACAATATAAGATAGAGCTAAAATACAGGCAAAGAACAAGAAAACATCTAGGAGGATGTATTTATACCATGGCATCTGGGGATACGGTACTCTCAAATGTTTTGCACCATTATGTCTGACTACGTACTCGATCCAGTAAATGGCTTCTTCTAACGGCGAGTGTATTCGATCGTGAAAAATCTGTGATCTTTCCTTAACGTTCTCTGTATATCTGGAAAAATAGGAGAACTTGATAACATATCTCATCTATAGATATTTCAAGGGTGGATCTAGCCCTCGCGTCATAGGTGGGAGTCACGGGCTTCAGAATCCCAATATTTATACATATAAATTGTAACACTCCACACTCTGAGTTCAGAATTTGAAAAATTTTGAAACAAAAAATATGAAGTTTATACTTATGCCTTTGGGCTGCTCAGATTGATACGGTAGGGTGTGAGTTCAAAAGTTACAATTTTACTGTTAAGATGGTAATCGAGTAATATGAATTCTAAAGTTGATTTTAAGGTGATTGATTTGACTGTTCGATATATTTGGGCGCCAGGCTTGCAAAAGACAAAAGCCAATCAGATACTTTCTAAAAACCTTGCTTGGATGAGAAGACAAAACAAATAATATACAGAGAATCAATTCAACAATTTAATTCCTTGATAAAATTACAATATGGCTGAAGGCTAGAAGAATTAAGGATAACAATAATTTGTGAAGTGTGAAGTGGCTGAAGGCCCTAAAATAATGTTGAGAATTATGTAAAAGTGAGGTGGCTGAAGGCCCAAAAATAATATTGAAGATTATGTGAAAGTGAGACTGAAGTGGCTGAAGGCCCAAAAACAAGATTGAGGATTATTTGAAAATACTGGAAAATTTAAAAAACAAGAGAAAGGTAGCAAAATAGATTCAGAACATTCAACTTTACATAGAGCTATTGATCCGATCTGATTCCAATCGAAGGTCTTGGCACTTGGGTGGATTATACCTGGTTGGCCGGATGAATTGTCCAAGAGGGTTTCCTTAAGGTAAATGGGAGTTCAACCTTCAGAGTCAGTTCAGCTTCCAGCTCTCGGTTCTGCTTCCAGAGCTACCAAGTATACTTCTTATGATGGAAGTTAGTAGGGTATAGCCTCCTTCAGTTCTGACTGCTCAGTAGGGAATCTCCAGGTGTTACCGTCCTTTACAACCCTCTTTGGTTAACCAGGATCCTCGATGCAGGTATAGACGTAGAGTGCATGCGGAAATATACGAGGAATCAGAAAGTTGTCGACAATGTGATTAAAGGGACGAAAGGATATCCTTTGAACCGCTCACCGAGTTTTATGTTCTGAATTATAATACTTTGGAAGGTAACAAATTGAAATGTGAAATTTTAGGAACTTAGAAAAATTAGGAAGATATGTATATATTCAATTCAACGAAAAAAAACTTGACACTTGAAAATTCAGTCTTTTTTTAAAAAACTAGAGAAAATTGACTCAAATTGAAACCAGAAATAACTGAGAATCAAATCATTAACTCAGAGAAAGATTATTTGAATAATATATATAATGAGATATCCTGGTATTTGATATATTATTACAAAAAAAAAAAAAATCAAGGAAAAATTATCATTTGTCTAATGAAGAAACTAAATTCAACTTTGATGAGTTGTCGATACTGAAATTCAATAGAAAAAAATACAGGGTGGCAAGTCCTGTTCAATAGTAAAATGCCTGATAATAGGTACTATTTCAAGTTTGAAGTTGACAGGTAATTTTAGGTAATTTTGGTACAGTTTGTAAGTGAAAGTAAAAGGAAAAAAAAGGTATTTATAAAGATATATATACAGGGTGGCAAGTCCTGGTTCCAAAGTTAAATGCCAGAAAATAGGTAAGTACTTCAGGTGTGAAGTTGACAGGTCTGGAATTAAGATATGGTATATCTGGAGATAAGGAAATAGACATGCATTGACATGTGGTTTGTTGAGTTGACCAAGGAAAATACTGACAGTAAGATAGAGAGAAAAATCTCACTTCCAGAAAACTTGAACTATAGGTTGTGCTTTCGTCACAAGAAGGCAAAACCTATACAGGAACCAGACAAATGTTGACTGAACAGGCTATAGAGAGAAGGAAACCTTCCTCAGGTTGCATTTATTTCTCAGAGAGAATGAAAAATAACTTGGAAAAGAAATTCACAAGTTTTAATAGAAATTAAATGCTCACCTGAGAAAGAATCCTGAGAAAGCACAGCCTGGACGTCAAGGTTCAACTTCAAGGCTCTAGGTCCTGTAGGCTCAAGGTTCCTGGACGGGACACAGAGTAGACTCCAGTTCAGGTTTCCTGGATGAACATCTGAGGAAACTACGATGAAGTTTCGAATTTCCAATAGGTACCTAGAAAAATTTTTGAAAGAGTAGATACTGTTTTCAACTTATTGAATCAGGGAAAAATTAGCAACAAACTGATATTGATAGCAACAATTTATGAAAAGCAAATTTAAGCGACAAGGCAGAGAAATCCAGGTATAGTACTTAACCTTATTGAGCTGAAATAAATGTATATGACTTATAAAATTTGTCAATTTTACGAAAATATCATTACAAAGTGCTAATAAAATATAGAGAGAACTCAAATATCCAATAAGTTGATATCGATGACCAGTTATTACTTAAGAAACCATCAGATATGAATTGTAACCTCAATTTACTCGAATGCAATTATCTCTCACAAAAATGAAATTCGACCAAAAATATATAAATTAATATTTAATTCAATAGATAATAATCAACTCTAACAAACCAAATGTCTGCGATGACAAGTTATTTCACTCGAAAAATAAAGATATAGATCCAGACCTACCAGATATCTTCAATTCACACAACCTATCACTTCAACCTTTCAAGTCGGTAGTTCAAATCAGAAGCACTTTGATTTTCCTATTCGTTCTTCGCGAAAGATCCTGTCCTATCAATCCTTTCTCCTGATTGGTTATTCCGTCTCCCTTCTTCGATCTTCTGTGACGCTGTCTAGCGGGAAGGACGAGCGCGCAAGACTTGATAAATTCGATATGGTTATTGAACCGGTGAAGGGCTGATAAGCGGAAGTAGATAGAAGAACGAATGGACGTCAGATAATTAAATGGTTTATTGATTGAAAACATCTCAATGGAACGGAATAATCGTTACACACCACCCTAACTCGGTGAAAAAAATTTGGAAACTCTAGGAGATTACAAATTTTTTTATTGCAGAAAACATTACCCCAACCTTCATCTTAGTAAACCAAGTAAACCTAGTAAACAAGAGAACGTCACTTCACATCATGGATTCAAATATTATTTTTTTTTTTTACCTCAATAAAGGTATTCAGGAAAACGATGAAGAGAATTAAGTAACAGTAATACTGAGATTCACGAGGTAAGGAGTAGTAAGGACTCTATATAATGGGAGATAGAAAAAGAATTACAATATTAACAGAAGGAAGGTATTTACAAGATTCACATATTTTACAAGATTCATGTTCTTATTTTTCCGCAATGATGATTTTTGGAATGATTTTCAATTGGATGGAATGAACATCCCATATATTATAGAAATTATCCTCATAGTTATTGCTAAAGGTAATCATCTCATTATAGAATTCCAATGATTCAGTGTGAAATAACCTAATTCATTTCCAAAATTTTTGTATTTGTAATCCATAAGTTAAACATCAAAAGACAGGTAGGTAAGATGAAGGCTAAGACAAGGTATTCCGAATGAAATAACTTCTCATCAAATAGACATGAAAATTTTGCAAAGATCTATACCAGAAAACTTCAAACCGTCAAAAGTTACCTATAAAAAAAATACATCGTTATGTATACTCAAAAATCTCCACCAAATATAACTGGGATGCATATGGCCCAAGAGCAAACCATCCCCACCACCAGAACCCATCAACAGCATGTCCGAAACCAAATGTGGTGTAATCAGGGATGGAAGTTGACCCCACAAAACCAAAATTGCGCATCTCGAGAATGAGAGAGAAGCCTCACTTTTTGGTTTTCTCAAAGAGCACACTGTCTCCGGACATCCTGCCGACAAGCCCCAGGGATGCAGACGGGAAACTCCAGGGACACACCCACCTCAATTGTCCAGCCTTAGGGAGAAGCTGCTATCCCAACAGTAGTATAGCCACTGTCACGCTGAAATTTCAAAAGTGCTACAAACAGTCCTAGAAGAGGCTGAATGTCGTGTTTCATCTACTCATAGATGAAAAATCGAAGGACAGGAAAGATAAGAGATAGAAGGGAAAACGAAGGAAGAATAGCGTTAAACCTGATTGGGAATCAAGATGGCTCAGGAGGATTCATTTGCCATCCGTCTCTAGCCAGTAGTTCATCAAAATGAACTCAGCAGACACTATCAAAAGTCGGTCGGTGAATAACGTTTGAGGAAGAAAAGAATAGTTTTTCCAAAGTGCTCTCTACACAACCAACGTACCCGTAGACTGAACTGAGAGGTGCAGGGAATATTCGATATTCTATAAAACAGTTTAGTGAAACTACCCTCTTAAAAAAACAAAGGGAGTTGGAGTTATTCAGCAACAGACCAATGAAGCTTGACAGAGTTCAAGTTGTGCCACCGCTCTAGAGACTGAGGAAAAGATAGAAAAGATAAAAGAGAAGAAATGTACAAGGTATGAAGGCAGACCGAAGGAACCCAGAAATAATTCAAACTCAACCGAAACAAATTTTTTTGACATATTAGCTCATTGTTTTACCGTTATTTATTCGTAAAGTATCTGACAAGAACAAGAGTCATCAAAAATTTTCGAATGAAAAGATAATATCAGTAAGTCACTGACATAAAGGTAATTAGAAAACTTTCGAATGAAAAGATAATATCAGTGAAAGCAGTAAGTCACTGACATAAAGGTAATTAGATAACATTCGATGAATTCTACCACCTCAAACTAAGAGAAAAATAATGTTTGGACAATAAATCGATATTATTTCGAAATAAGATACAAAATTGTCCAAACGATAAGATAAGATAAGATAGTAGGCAAATGCTTGATTCCACTAACCAAATTTACTGAAAGATGAATAGATTTTTCTCAAATTTGAATCAATCACTTGAAGAAAAAAATCACAGAGGAGATATAGAATCTGTCTTTCAAATCTGTTGAAAAGTTATCTGTTCGGAAAGTTCAGAGATACCATTAAGGCATTATCAAAAGATAAATACTTCCA